AGCCGAAGAGGAGTAAACAACAACGGAGGAGGAGCAAGCAGCGGCGGAGGAACCCCAGTCAGCGCAGGAGGAGGCAGCCGCAGAGTCTCAGTGACTCACCACCCTCCTCCCCTCCCACCATCCGCCTCCTCCGCTTCACTACCCACCACACACTCGCTCTTCCACCTTCGCCCATCGGTGAGTACCTATACATATTAGTAGTTGTACTGTATATGTATGCACTATTTTCTATAGAAATGACAGTGTTTTTCTGTATATGTAATGTATTTCATGGGGCAAAGGGAGGCTCGGGAACGTAACTCCCATATTTTATCTATTTCTTACGGGGAAAATTGATTCGCTTAACGTTGTTTTGTATAACGTAGCATTTTCCGGAACGCAACCCCGACTTTAAGCGAGAACTTACTGTATTCAGAATGAGTAGTGTTGTACGAGTCAACGAAAAAAGTGGCGCCGCCAGCATAAACGGCCGAGAAATTTGATGCCGTCAGCGTCGGCGTATATGATTTCATAAATTGACGCCGCTAGCATCAGCGTCAACACCTAGCATCAGAGTCACCACCTAGCGTCAACGAGTTTTCAGTGACGTACAAATGCAGCCCCGAAATATGTATTCTGTGTATGGGAGTAACATATGCAAAATAAAAAAATATTCATTAATTTTTAATCCTTTATTATGATTTTTATTTTATTTTAATTATTAATTTGTTCCCCCGCAAGAATACTAGCATCTCAAAATGCTTGTCGCTCATTCTGCTGCGCTTGGGCCTCAAGACGTCCTTGCCCATGGAGAACATGCACTCCACGGCAGCACAAGGGGGGATGGGGGTGTTGTATTTGATGAACAACTCCCTCGTGGCCTTGTTGGGGAAGGTGTCCTTGTCGAAAGTCTTTTTCAAAGGTTTCTCCCCCAGGAAACGCTTGAAAAGGTCACTGTCTTTTTCATTGCCGGGGAGGTCTCATACAGGGCCTGGAACAATTGGCCCTCCACGTCAAGGTCTTTGTCGTCTCCCTCACTGCTGCTGCTGCTCTCAGTCTCGTGCACGGACTTCTCCACCAACCTGGACAGCTGGTTGGTGGCCTTTTTCCTGACTAACAGATGGCACTTGACACTCTGCTCGGGTGAAAAGTTGACTGCGTCACCTGTAGCGTCACCTTCCCAAAAAAATTGATGGCATCAGCGTTAACAAAAAGTTGCCGTCGTCCATTGACGGCGTTAACGTACAACACTGAGAATGAGGTTGTTGTTGGTGAACAGTGCATCAGATATGACCAGGGTAACATGATTATTGATAATGAGGAAATAAAGAATGCCTGGAGAAAATACCATGATTGACTACTGAATAAGGAGTGTGAATGGAACTGGGGCAGCCTACGTAGGAGAACCAGTACTGTATAGGGACCATGCTCGAGGATTGAAAGAGAATGGGAGTATAATTTAAAAGCAGGGCTGTGGAGTCGGAGTCGGAGGAAATTTCGGCTTGTGGAGTCGGAGTCAGTAAAATTGTCCAGACTCCGACTCCGACTCCGACTCCGACCGCAGCAGCGGTAGACATTAAAAATACGAGATTTCAGCAAGATTTCTTTGGTGCACTGATGGAAGTGGAGAAATTTGACCGGTCTTCAAAAGTGACAGTGGAAGAAGCCATACCTGCTTACCCAGAGATTGTAAAAGATGTAGCTAGAGCTGTGACAGCAATGCCACCCACTCAGGTCAGTGTAGAAAGACTGTTTTCTGCACTGAAAATAATCAGATCAGATTTAAGGGCTTCCATGAAGGAAGATCTGACTGAAGCTATTCTGTTCCTAAGAACAAATATATGAACTCAGGCATATTCATTGCAGTGATTCCACTGATCCCACTAATTTTCTTAAATTATTAAAAGAATTTATTTCCATTTTATAAGCATTATTATGAATTTATTGTAGCAGGCACAGTATAGCACTATAATTTTGGACGATAGTCTCTTCTTTACCATTTGAAATTTTGAATTATATCAAATTTTGTTTCGTTGAAAACTGCACAGAGGCTCTCAGCTACAAAACAATTAGCTACAACCTGTTTTTGGTGAGATTAAGGCAAATTTAATTTAATAACTTAATCATGTAAGGTTTATCCATTTTCCTTAATAAGGTATTCATTTCTTTAATGTACATAAATATATAACTTTACTTTAAAAGGAATTGTAGGATCATCATTTAGATCCACATCAGATTATGAGCTTAAACAAAATTCATATGCTGAGATTGAACTTTTAGATATACATGTAAGTGGTGTTTTCTAGTTAATATCTTGAATTCTTAATAAATTTATTTTTCTTTTGATTGAAACTTTGAAAGTCAAGCCTATCATCTTTTTGTAGTTCTTAAATATCGTCCAGATCATTAATAAAGCTGTAGCAGTATAGCCACGGTGTTTTACTTTTTACCTACGCAGGTTACAACATACAAATTACAATTAGGATGGTAGAAATAGTTGTTACAAATAGGCCAAGGAGTCGGAAGCATAAAAATTTGAGGAGTCGGAGTCGAAGGTTTTGTCTTCGACTCCACAGCCCTGTTTAAAAGTGAACAGAAAGAAAGCAGAGGGGAAGATCAAGAAGGTGGAATGATTAAATAAAGAAATCCCAAGAAGTGAGGAGAATGGACATCCAAGAAGTTCTAGTTTGCATTTGTGATTTGATTGGATGGCCTTCAGTGAGTTTTGGGTGAGGATGTGATGCTGGCTTGTCTAAAGTGACAAAGTAAACCACATTTAAGGTCTTGTTGTGGAAGGAATGTATTATTTCAGGACACACCTCCAGTGATATTTATAGCCATGCGTGGCTCAGACTACTGCGACACTGATCATCGGCTCATCAGAGCCAAGCTATCGCTTCACGTCACCCCAAAACGGCGAAGGCAGCAAACCTCCAGAAGAGGTTTTAACACTGAGCGTCTGAGGGATCCAGCAGCACCACATGCTTTCAGAGAACAGCTCGAGCATGGGCTGATAAACAACCCAACAACAAACAACCCTAATCCCAGTGCCGAATGGGATATTCTTGACACTGTCATGACAAAAACCTGCATAGACCTTATGCCAGATCGAAAGAATACGCCAAGACTGGCTTGACGAAAATGACCTGGTAATCAATGTACTTGTCGATGATAAACGTGATGCTTTAACTGACTGGCAGAGCAACCCTCAGTCTCGGACCAAAGCTGATACCTTCGGCAAGAAGAGAGCTCTCACCCAGTGGGAACTTTGCAATCTAAAGAATGACTGGTTTAAAAATAAAGCATGTGAAATACAAAAATTTGCAGATCAGCACAAGATGTGCAAATTTTTAAATTCCACTAAAACAATTTATGGGCCAATCACTGGTGCGCAGCCCCACTCAGCTCATCCGACGGGAGCTCCCTAATTAAAGACGATGAAGGCCTCCTTCAGCTCTGGAAAGAGCACTACTATTCACTGCTAAACACCGATGTGAATGTCCTGACTCCCCAGCAAGTCCCTCAGCATCCAGAGCTGACCCACCTCAGCTATCCTCCATCCCTGGATGAGGTAGCTACTGCCATCAAACATGAAAAATTACAAAGCCTCAGTGCCTGATGGAATCCCAGCCGAGGTGTATAAAGCAGGAGGACTTAAACTTACCAGCCGTCTCCACTCTCTCCTGGAGAATATATGGGAAAAAGAGGAAAGCCCCAAGCTCTTGAAGACGCCTCCATCGTCAGTATTTAAAAGAACAAAGGAGACCGGTCAGACTGTGGCAACTACTGCGGATCTTACTGCTGTCTGTAACTGGCAAGATTATCGCCTGAGTCCTCCTAAACAGACTTCTTCGTGGGGTGAAAAACTTCCTCCCAGAATTTCGATGTGGCTTTAGACCACCACTGACATGATCTTTGCTGCCCGCCAGATACCGGAAATGTGCAGAGAACAGCGTCGTGACCTATACATGTCCTCCATCATCCTAACCAAGGCCTTCGATTTGGTCAACAGGGAAGCCCTTTGGTGGACCCTCAGCAGTTTTGGTTGCTCATCAAAATTCATTGCCATTGTGAGGCAACTCCATGATGACATGAACAGCAGTGTACTGCACAATGGCACCCAGTCTGAGTTCTTCCCCATCCAAATGGGAGTTAAACAAGGGTGTGTACTTGCCCCAACTATCTTTTCAGTTTTTTGGGGCTGCTTTCCTTACTCGTGCCATTGCCACTTTAACTGGCGGGGTAAACATCCAGTACTGGTTGAAGGGTCTTTTCAACTTAAGATGATTCCAGGCAGGAACAAAGGTGTCGGCAGCTTCCATTACTGAACTTCAGTAGGCAGACGACCTCACCCTTGTCGCTCACACTGAACAAAACCTACAGGAGATCCTGAACACCTACGCAAATGCGTATGCACACTTCGGCTTTGAGGTGAATGCATGAAAGAGTCAGATTCTCATTCAGCCTGCCCCTGGTTCAACAACACCTCCACCATCCATCCAGCTTAACGGTACTACCCTTTTCTAATGTTACCCACTTTCAGTATCTCAGCTCCCACCTGTCCACCACCGCAAACATTGATGAATAGATTCAACATCGGATCAGATGTGCATCTCATGCCGGGAGATGATTTTTCCACACTGTAATGCTTAGAGGAGCACCACAGAAGGTGTCAATATTTTCGAGTTAGCCAGACTGCAAAACGAGGCAGACAAGCGCCAACGCCTGAAAGATGCTGCCACTGCTCCTCCCGCACTATATGTAGCCCCCTACATGTGCAACATCTGTGAACAATCCTGCCATTCCCGTATTGGCCTCTTTAGTCTCCTCAGAACTCACCAACCTAGGTGATATCCTTAATAACTCATATCACTGTATCATAGCTGGATGATCATCATACTCTAATCCGAGTGACAACAAAGTGTAGTATGGGGCACACATGCTTGGGCTGCCATGCACTTGTGTTTCTAACCACTTTACAGTTAATGGGAAAATTAATTATTGTGTTTTTACTTTTGCAGATGGGTAGACCTGTTAGCCAAGCTTATTACCTGTGTGAGCCAGAAGGAGGATGTCATTATTGGAGGAAAACATATGACAGGTGATGATTATCGCTACCAAGTCCTCAAATCCTTTTGTGACCTCTCTTGGTGTGCTGAAACTACAACAAGCCTTTTACCTGTTTTCAAGTAAGAACTATGTATCAAAATCATTATATAATTACGCTCTCCCAAGCTGTAGTGAGGCATCATCAAAAACAAGCAGGATAACTTTAGTTTGGAACTGCTCGGTATTAAAAAGTGTTATTTACGTCCTGCCAGGAACAGTACAGCATTGTCTCAAATGGTACGAACAGTGCTCTCACTTAAACCAAGCACGCGGCCAACCTCCGACACACGCTCTCCTCTCTGAAGGCGGGTGATCACATCTAATTTCTCGTCCATTGTGATTATTTTTCATGCCTTTTTAGCTTTAGGCGCCCCAGAAGAGGCAGATGGACTTTTTCCAGACATGCTCAATGGGGAAAACAGCATTTAACACAATGCAAATGAAAACACAGAGCAAAAGTAGTGCTGGTGTGAACTGAGAAAGCGGTACGTGGGAAGCTTGCTGGAAGTGGTCACAGTTGTTATACAGTATACTTCATTATCATAAGAACGTAAGAAGGAAGGAAACTGCAGCAGGCCTATTGGCCCATACTGGGCAGTTCCATTTACACCCAACCCCTATTGCTCATATATCCATCCAACCTATGTTTGAAGCTATCCAGCATATTTGAGTTAATGATGAAATTTGGTAACTTGTTCCACTCGTCCACTACTCTATTTCCAAACCAATGTTTACCTATTTCGTGTCTAAATCTAAATTTGTCTAATTTAAAACCATTGTTACGAGCTCGCTCCTTGTTGAATAGTTTGAGTACCTTTGTAATGTCCCATTTGTTCAGCCCTGACATCCATTTATACACCTCTATCATATCGCCCCTCACTCTACGTCTCTCGAGGGAGTGCAAATTAAAATGCTTTAACCTGTCTTTGTACTCAAGGTTCCTAATGCCTGGGATTAGTCTTTTCATTCTCCTCTGAATTCTTTCCAAGGATTGTATATCCATTCTGTAATACGGTGACCAGAATTGAACTGTGTAATCCAAGTGAGGTCTCACAAGCACAAGATATAGTTTTAGGATGACGTCGCTAGTCTTGTAACTAACACTACTTTGTATTAACCCAAGTACTTTATTAGCCTTGTTTTGAACAAATACACATTGTTTACTTGGCTTAAGATTCCTCCTTTTCATTACTCCTAAATCTTTCTAGCAGTTGGAGTTCTCAATAACATCGTTGTTCATCTAGTGTCTGGTTTCCCTGTTTGCATCTCCTAGACTAAGTACAGCACTTTACATTTGTCCACATTGAATTTCATCTGCCATTTTTCAGACCATTCAAAATTTTTTTTTAGATCTTCCTGTAGTTTTATGGAGTCATCGTCAGATTCAATTACACGTCCTATTTTAGTGTCATCAGCAAATTTACTTATGTTGCTGTCTATGCCGATATCTATGTCGTTTATGTATACAGTTGTACCCCGCTTTACGCGGTTTCACTTAACGCGATTTCTCATATACGCTGTGCCTCGCCAGAACCGAACTTTCACTTAACACGGTTCATCTACTCATATACGCTGGAAGCGGCGCGGGCACGATTCGCACAAGGTCGCCCAGTCATCAAAACATTACCGAGTTCTTCACCCGCCACCCACCACAGCTGGCCCAAGTCAGTGATAGTGATAATTATAGTGAGGATATGGACTTATATGGACTTTGAGGGGTTTGACAAAGAGGCCCTGCAAGCCTCTGTGGTGGATAGTGATACAATTGATACAAGTGATACAGGTGGGGGCCAATAATCTGCCCTCTGCCTCGGAACCAACCCCCCATCCCCGTGTGCCCAGCCATCTTTTCTACTAATGTATGTGTTAAAAAACCTAATATTATTGATATTTCTCTTAATTATTAATTGTGTGTGCATACCATCATAAAGTTAAGATAATATTTTTACTACAACATAGTTGTGTGTCGTCAAAAAGTGGAGTTTGGGGGTTGGGCCAGTCTATTGGAATTAATCCCATATGTTCTGTTGTTCACTTAACGCGGTACCCTGTGGGTTCAATTGACCGCGTTAAGCGGGGTACAACTGTATAATAAATAATAATGGTCCAAGTACTGAGCCTTGGGGAACTCCACTAGTGACGTTGCTCCAATCGGGTTTAGTGCCGTTAATGCTCACTCGCTGTTTCCTGTCCTGTAGCCACGCCCTAATCCATTTTAGAATATCTCCTTTAATGCCATGAGCCTCCACTTTTTTATTAGTCTTTTGTGGGGGACTCTGTCGAAGGCTTTGCTAAAGTCGAGATATACCACACCATAATTGTGCCCCTCGTCCACTAATTCGAAAACAGATGAAAAGAATGTTAATAGATTAGTTTGACTTGAACGCCCGCTTGTGAAGCCTTCTTGGGAATCATTGATCAACTTGTGCTTCTCCAGGTGATTTCGAATAGAGTTTGAAATGATTGCTTCCAGTAATTTGCCTACAATTGATTTTAGACTGATTGGACAGTAGTTAGAGGAGAGTGATCTATCTCCCGTCTTGAAAATCGGTATTACATTCACTATCCTCCAGGATTCTGGTACTACACCCGTTTTTAAGGGCATGTTAAACAACTTTGCTAAGAGCATACTAAGATCTTCCTTACATTCCTTTAATACTCTGGCAAATATCTCATCCGGACATGGTGACTTATTAGGCTTCAGTTTGTCTCTTTGCTTACGAACATCGTTACTAGTCACTACTATCTCTCTTAATTTATTTTCTTCACTATCTCTGTATAGAGTCGGTGCCTCGGGTATCATGTTTAAATTTTCCTTGGTGAAAACTGTTGAAAAATATTTATTCAGATTATTGCTCATATCTCCGTCGTTATCAGTTAGCTAGCCGGTATCTGACTGTATCTTTTCTCGTGTTTTAGTTTGATACATTGATAGAATGTCTTGGGGTTTGACTTCCCCAACCTTGCTACCTTCAGTTCATTATCCCTCTTTGCTTTTCTTATTTATCCATTTAGGGTCATTGTTGTTTGATCTGAGTTTTCTGGGTGGTATATTCTGCCTTTGTGCATTAAGTACCGGGTAACTCATTATTTAAATTGTTGTGAAACTCGTCAACCTCAGATCGTTATCAGGTCATTCTCAACTGTCAGGTCTCCAGGTAAGGTGAGGTCGCCCTCTGTGGGTACATTGTGTGAGGTCATCTCATGTGAGGTCATGTAATCATTATCTTCATTATCATCATCATTAGTAGTAATAATCTTTATTATTACATTATTATTATAATTACAGTGTATTATTATTAATAATAATATTAAAATCGTTCATGTTGATATGATTGTGACTTAAAAGTAATAACTTACAAGCACCTCACCAGGCATCACAGGCGACTCTGCTGCCAGGCGACCAGGCGAATACGCGCGGAAAATTTAAACTGTCTTGAGCGCGTTATTTAAAAAATAGGTCCGCGTAAATTAGGTTTTGATATTAATTGAACAATTGCGCTATTCCAAAAATGCCCGTCAAACGCGCATAAAACGTGAGTTACCTGTACAGTCGACCCTCGTTAATTCGGACCCCTTTAATCCGGATTTCGGATAATTCGGACATAATCTGAACAAACTTTTTTTTTTTTTTTTTTAGATTTGTAGGAATATTACCTTCGCGGACCTTAAGCTAAAATGCTGGTCCACCCACTGCTGGGATAAAACACCAGCGTCTTTTTGGTTAAATGTAACATCTCCACCACTAGTGTGGGAGGGGGGATGCAACTTTTAGCTTCAGACATGAAAAATATTTACCATTTACTGCCAGTAAACAATGGAAACGTAAAATATGTACCAATTAGTCATGAAAAGTTGTGCAGTTCCTTCAGCAAATGAAGCTCACTAACTTACAATAGGCTAAATTACCTTACAACGTGTTTTCAGTAGTCTATGTTGAAGTTCTTAGCACAGGCTAACTTATCATATCATATACGGTATCACAGTTCTCATTGATCTACAAAAGATACCGGTCATAAAAACCTTTTCGATATTTCACACTTAATATAATACCCGGTAATCTACTTCAACCTCCTATTGTTTACAACGACGCATGACGCACCACCAGCTGTTGAGTATCAATCAGCTAGATGGTACAATTGTTTTTCGAATCGTTTTCTGTTAAAAAACTGTTACATCACATGTATATTTTACCTTAACTGTGCCTGAATGAATATATTCTCGGAAATAAATAGTAGTTTTGCTGAAACGTGATGTATTTTAATGTAAAATAGGATAAAATACATGACGAAAACAAAAGATTTTACCTAACCTTCCGATGTTCAAGAGAAGTTACTCGTTTTTTTAATAATTTTTGGTTAAAATACTGTTATATTACAATGGTATTCTATTCATACTGCGCTTGATATAATGCATTCATGGAAATGTAATATTTTTGCTGAAATGACACGTATTACAGTGGAAAGTGGGATAAAATCGTGACGGAAACAATGACTTTCGCTTTCTTTCGTTCAAAAGATGTTACCGTAATCGCTTTTCGAATGGTTTTCAGTTAAAAAACTGTTGTATTACAATAATATTCTATCCTAATTGACTTGAATAGATACTACGATACCATATTTCTGAATATTTTCATTAAAATCCATCCAAATCATTTCCTTGTCATCGTCTGCAGCACCAAACAGCTTCTCCCAGTCCTCTCCTTGAACAGGGCTAGAGGGTACGTGTTTTTCGAATCGTTTTCAGTTAAAAAACTGTTACATCACACGTATATTTTACCTAAACTGCGCCTGAATGAATATATTCTCGGAAATAAATAGTAGTTTTGCTGAAACGTGGTGTATTTCAATGTAAAATAGGATAATATACATGACGAAAACAAAAGACTTTACCTAAGCTTCCGATGTTCTTGAGATGTTACTCGTTTTTTTAATAGTTTTTGGTTAAAATACTGTTATATTACAATGATATTCTATTCATACTGTGCTTGATATAATACATTCACGGAAATGAAATATTTTTACTGAAATTACGTACGTATTACAGTGGAAAGTGGGATAACATCGTGACGAAAACACTGACTTTGAAATATAATGCAATATTAACCCCTAAATCGGTTAATTCGGACAATCGGCTAAAACGGACAACCCCCCCCCCCCATTATTCCGAATTAACGAGTCGACTGTACTTCAGGACGAAATCAAACAGGTTTTCAACAGCCAATAAACAAATAAACAATATTGTACTGCCAATGACAGTCGTTTGATGAACATTAGCGTACCATAAGTGTTGCTAACTGTAGTTGGGAGAGAGGGAAAGATTATGAATATTGTTTGTGGGAGGCCAAAGTGATGGTTATTGTACAGTAATGAGGAGAGAAAGACAGTGAAGAGAAGTGAGAGAAACAGAGAGAAGGGAAGAGAAAGACAGAGAGAGAGAGAGAGAGAGAAAGACAGAGAGAAGAGAGAGAGAGAGATTTATCATTAGAAGATCTCAAGATGAAATTTATCATCACTTACTAAATGTATCAAATGATTTACTAATTCGTTTTTTCCCGTTGTACCGTTCTTCATAATTTCAGAGATATGAACCTGCCTAAAGAGGAGCTACATGATGTAATTTTCAAAGTGGAAAGAGTCTTAAAGGAGGTGGATTATCAGTCAGTGCCGCCCATCATTTATCATCTGATTCTGTTAATGCGTCGTGATCTGCCAGGCCGAATACTGCAGGTCGTTATTGATTACTTTAATAGCCAAGAAAACAAATTGAAACAAGACAGGAACAATGTAGGAGATGAAATAAATAGCCTGGAGTTTGATTCAGAAGTAATAGGTGAGTATTTTTCATCTTTTATATTTAAAGTAAAAAATTTAACCAGTTCATTGATAGGGATATATGTTGAATGTTTGCCTCTGAATTTGAGCATCTTTTTGTGCATCTTTGTACTACAGTGGAGACTAAACTTGGATGATCCATATTTTGACTGATTGCAAGATTCATTTATTATGCTCTTTGAAGGGAGAGCATTTAGTTATTACTTTGTCAGTCTATCTGTTTGTTTGTCTGTTCTTTACTTTTGTATTACTTCTCCACTTTATAACTTAAGATAATTTACAGAACAATACCCAGGTCTCCAGCATTAAGGCCAATGGCACATTTTTGGGTCAGAGGCCAATTTCTTTTTTTTTTTTGTCCATTCAATCACTATTGTATTGGGTGAAGGATCTTCATGATAATTTCTGGTAAGACTAATGTCAAGAAAATGTGTTATGAATAAGTACAGTAAAACCTCGATAAATCGGACTTCAATACAGTAGATCAGAATTCGCTTTCTCGGACTCTGATCTGCTCTGGTCACTAGAAATACAAAAAAAGGGGGGAGGGAGATTAAGAAAAAATAGATATATATAAAATGAACAACTGAATACTGTACAGTGGTCTAATGAGATTTGCTATTGGCCGACTGAGAACCAACACACTTGAGTATGTAAGCAGACCTTAACCTGGAACGCCATTCTCTTTTGTCGGATCACCAGTATGACTTTCGCCAGGTGAGATCTACTGGTGATCTGCTCTCCTATTGCACCCATCTTTGGTCATCCTCTCTTAGGGATTATGGTGAAACTTTCGTCGTGATCCTCGACATCTCCAAAGCATTTGACAGGGTATGGCACAAATCTTTGCTTTCTAAACTTCCCTCTTATGGTTTCTCTCCCCCACTTTATTCTCTAATCTCTAGCTTCCTTGAGAACCGATCCATGACAGTTGTTGTCAGTGAATCGATCTCTCGCTCTTTCTCTACCAATAGTGGTGTCCCACAGGGTTCTGTCCTTTCACCTACTCTCTTCCTTTCTTTTATCAATGATTTATTTCACACTACGACTAATTCAACCATTCTTACACTGATGATTCTACTCTTCACTCTTCTTCACATTTTCCCCTTTCTCCTAACTCTCAGACTAGATCTGTTTCTAGAGCTGATATCATTTCATCTATCAATGCAGATCTGTGCAGCATCTCTGAATGGGGAGGAAGAAACTTGGTTAAATTCAGTAGTAATAAAACTCAATATTTACCAATTACACTTTCCAAATTAGATGATCTCCCACCAATCACATTTAAGGATGCAATCATTCTGCCAAATTCTGTCTTAAGTTTGAGTTTATGTTTTTTGCTTATAAAATGTCACAGAAGTGACCGGGGACAGTGTAGTGTGCCCAGAGAAACATTAGGCGCGAATTTTAAAATATGATGCGTCAGATTGACTCACACAAAATAGGAAATATTCGCTTTAAATTAAAACATTGTCCTTAATTGTGGGTGTCGCTTTAAATAAATAATCTTAAATTGAATCACTTTAAATCGACGTTCTACTGTAAACTATACTGTACACTACAATATTACTTATTAAGTGATGATAAATACACTACAATAGTATTTATTAAGTGGTGATAAATACAAGACTGTACTTTACTATACTAATTTACTAAGTGTTGAAGACAGACAGACATTTGGTAAGCCGATCAGCTTTTTGCACATTGTAAACAAATGACTCATGGAGTTTAGTGTAGGATTAATTTTTCAGGAAAGCTGATTCTTTTAGGATAATATGTTATCATCCTGGCACCAAATGATCCTAAATTATATGAGAATTGTTGTAAAATTGCTTAAAGAGGTGTTAAAGGAATCTTGGGAGAGAGAGGGAAGGACTCACCCCCCCCTGCCAGCTGGTCCCAGTAAACACTTGTCTTCCACATACAATATACTCCTACACTTATTTGTTTTTGGTTTTATCTTTATGACACTGTACTGTACTGTATACAGTTTCTCTTTATTCACAAGACAAATTCTGTGGTTACTTACATATAACACTTTACAGTAAATAACAATCATCTCGGTGACACCAGTTGTTGACAACCAGACTTAAGTGTCTGATTTTCAACCTAGAGAGTTTTGTTTTATATTTTTTTATTGTTGATGTAATATTATTTTAATAACCTTTTTATACACTTTCAGACCTTAATTGTTGAAGTACAGTAATAACGTTTCATCAACTGATTTTCTTTAAACAGTTCAGATAAGCAGTGTTATCTCCCCCACCCATATATTACCTTTTTTGGGGGGGACAATCGCCCTTTTTGGACTGGGGTCTGCCCCAATTAGTCCGATTTATCAAGGTTCTACTGTACTGTACCAAGACTGCATCATGATTGTCAAGGTAACATGTGGGATTAAACATCACGAAGACAAGTTGTGTTTATACTGTTCTGTTGTTATTGATGTAGAGCTTCTTGCTGGTGATGTGTGTCTGTATTTGGGTTCTAAGGTCAAGTGTTGCCTTTCATCCACTCTCACAAGTGCTCATAAAGGTTCCACTTGTCATCCCTGTTCACAGTGGTCCCCAATTTCTCAGAAACCCTCATGATGGTACAGTACCAGGAACCCCACAAGTATTCATAAGGATACCAAATGCCAGAGAGACTGTAGCAGTGCATTGAGCTATTTAATATGATCAATGATTTTGTTGGTTACAGTATGGCCAGATAATTTGCAGATTTTTATTTTGCAGTCCTCTATTATTTGCGGATGACACCCTGGATGTACCCATGAATGTCTGTGGGTAGTTTTAAAGTTGCCGTCATATTTGCGTCTGGGACTGGGAGACATTCGTTCTAGAGACAGTAATTTCCTTTTAGTTGTGTTGTATATACGTGTGTGTGTGTGTGTTTGTATACACACACACACACACACACACACATACTGTATAAATAAATAATAATGGGAAAATCCTCTCACAAATAATCAGAAACAAATGTAGTATTAAAAATGTCTACCCTCAAGTCTACTCCATGCTTTATTAATAACAAAGCACGGAGTGGACTTGAGGATAGACTCAACATTTTTAATACCACATTTGTTTCTGATTATTTGTGAGAGGATTTTCCCATTATTATTTATTTATATGTGTTTTGTGAGTGTGTGTAGACAATCACACACACACACACACACACATATATTGTTACGCCGCCTCTTAATTTACTTTAATATCCAGGTTCTAGGCGTAACTAAACAAAAAAAGTGAAGTAAATTAAAAGGGAATAAAAATAAATAAAGTAAACCTTTAAGAGTTTAATTAAATTAAATATTAACACAATAAAGAGCCTCGTAGGCTGTCACAACAAATTGATTCACTATCGAAACTTTTAAGACACAAATGATACTAAAACACTGAAACATCAAAAGAATAAAAATAAAGCACTGGATTACATTAACACTGCATAAACAAATAAAATAACTACCACTGAAAGTAACTACAGTGAACCCTCACTTTACGCGGTTAATTCAACCCACGGCGGCCCGCGTAAAGTGAGAAACGCATAAAGTGAACAACATAACATATGGGATTAATTGAAATAGAGACCGGGCCGACCCCCAAACTCCACTTTTTCCCGACACAATACGTACGTTTTACTAAAAATAACCTCTTAACTTTATGATGGTATTCACCCCACACATAATATAGAAGGGAACAGTCAATAAGAGAAGAATAAACTGAAGGTTAGGTTAGAAAAAAACAAGGCTGGGGTTAACACTTACATTAGTAGAAGAGATTGGTCGGCGTAGGGGAATGGAGGCTGGTTCCGAGGCAGAGGGCAGGCTACTGGCCCTCAGGTGAGTCTTCATCGGTGTCATCCACACTTACTAGTGCCTCCCTGACAAATCCCTCAAAGTCATCATCACTGTCTCTACCTCTGTCACTATCACTGGCTTGGGCTGGCTGTGGTGGGTTGCGGGCGAAGAACTCTGTTATGCTTTGCTGACGGCTGGTGTTTATGTTGTCGTGATAAACCTTGATGTAGGGCTCCATAGTCTGCAACAGCTGGGTAGTGAAGATTTCATACCTGTTTGCGTCAGGGTCGTCGGAAAGGAGGAGCTTGGCTTTCTCGATACACTCGATGGCACCCCTAACATTACTATGGGATAAGCGGCGTTCTTCTTGGGATGACGCACCACCTGCCTCTTCACTGACGTCATCATCATCTACCATGTCGTCGGTAGTCACATCAGGATCCCTTATCACCTCCAAGATGTCGTCGTTGGTGGTCTCGGAGAAGCCTGCAGCTGTAACACTCTGCGCAGCTTCTCCGGCAAGGTCCACTGCTACTGCAACAGTCTGAACCTCACCAGTCACAGATTTACTCTGCCTAACGGCCGGAATGCCTTGCAACACATGTCTCCATGCGTGACGAACAGTTGCTACAGACAGCTGATCCCATGCCTCCACCAAGAAGTCCACAGCTTTCTTGACGTTGAATGTTCTCCGTAATTGTTTTAAAAGTACTTCTTGCTCTGCCAACTGTTGATCCTCGTCGTCTTCGCTCTTGCTATCGGTGTTGGTGTCACTCAGGTTACGCAACTCTTCCTTGGTGTTGGTGTAGTCGTTCAGGAGCTTGAATTTTTTAGTAGAGAATGCAGCTTTTACATTACAGATTAACTCTTGGTCCATGGGCTGTAATATAGACGTAGTGTTGGGAGGAAGGAAGACCACTTTTATGTTGGGGTGACGATCTAACAGTAGGGGCGAGTGTCCTGGTGCGTTGTCCAGCAGCAACAAAATCTTGAATGGCACATTCTGTTGCTCACAGAATTTCTTCACATCGGGAACGAAACAGTCATCAAACCAGGAGAGGGACAGTGTAGAGAACATCCACGCCTTACGTGCGGTCAGCCAGTGGACATTTAGCTTGGTCATGTCCATGCTCTTGTAGGCGTGCGGCTTGCGTGCTGTGTGGATCACCGATAACTTGAGCTTACAGGTACCGGAGGCATTGGTGGTAAACAGGACGGTGATGCGCTCCTTCTGCAACTTCCGGCCCCGACACTTGCTGGCATTCTTCATGACGAAGATCTTGGAAGGTAGTTTTTTCCAAAAAAGACCAGATTCGTCCATGTTAAACACCTGGTCGTCGGTGTACTGTCCTTCCTCCATAATCTCACGTAAAAACGGAGGAAATTCCCTAGCCACAACACGGTCAGCACTAGCTTCTTCACCACCAGCTTCTTCACCACCAGCTTCTTCACCACCAATGTTGATATTGGTGATCTTGTTTCTCTTCTTAAACCTGTGTAACCACCCAGAGGAAGCAGTAAAAGTAATAAATAATGAGGAATGGATACAGTGTGACTGAGCACTTACCTTTGATGTAGTCAGCTGAATGCACATGGGGCCCCCATAATTTTCTAATTATACATGGAGACTACATTAACTGGAAACGTTTCGGTATAGAAAATGCATGTGTCATTTGGGAAAGAAAAAAAAATGGTCACAACTGCGGCGGTCGTAAGTCCACGAAGTAAGGTCGTAAGTCGGGTCTAGGTAAATATATATATATATATATATATATATATATATATATATATATATATATATATATATATATATATATATATATATATATATATATATATATATATAAAGGAAATATTTGTCCTAAAGGCAAAACATAGAAAGGGAATATGTATTTCTTTGTACACATGTTGTACACCCCCCCCCCTCCCCGTCAGCAAATGTTATTCGCGGATTTGGCGATTCGTGGCCATTTTGAGAACCTAACCCTCGAGAATTTGAAGGACCTACTGTAGCTATCATCCCCTCAAGTATCAATCATGCATAGCAAGTGAATATAACAATCTGATTTGTTTATCTCTTGAGCTCTATTTTTTTGTGTGGATATGTTTGTCATTCTGTGTCTGTGGGACTTTCTTTAATAATAATAATAATAATATTAATTAACAGTTTATTGAAAGAGTTACATAATTAGGGAATGGGTCTCTTGATTTACAAATAATATACAAGTAACATATGTGATACAGATATGATATATACTAACTAGGTGGGGGAGAAGCTCAAACTACAGGGCATTTCAACATAGTGACAGTGCAAGGAGTAGTGTTTACTGGGAGTGAATACACTGGTTGATTACAGGTTGTTGATAATTTTTACAATGGTTGGGACTGGGCTGTTCTTATAGCGATCAGTTCGTGCTCGTATGGGTTGGATGCGGCTGTGTGTGTGTCTGTCCTTGTTTTTAATATCACTGTATTGATGTGAAAGGATATAGATACTCCTGCAGGAGAATATGTATATTAAGAACTTATTTCCAAACACCTTATTTATCTTGCAGAGAACAGTAAATACAGTGATCTTACTGAAGCAAAAGGTACTGTCATTCTTCATGTGACTCACCATGCCCAATATAATGCAGCCCTTGTTCGGGATTATCTCAAGTTTATTAGGTCCTCAACTTGGCTTGCTGAGAAGTTAATTACACCTTTCAACTTGGCTCTGTCACTTTCCCTGGCATCCATTGAGAAGTATAAGGATCAGGTTTGTTGCTCTGCTATTTTTCTT